AAAAAAAAAAAAAAAAAAAAAAAAAAAAAAGAGTTGGGACAGGGCTGGGGATTTAGTTCAGCGGCACAGCGCCTGCCTGGCAAGCGCAAGGTTGTGAGCTTGATTTCTGGTGGGGGGGCAGGGCGGGGGGGGGGAGTTGGGACAGCATGGGAGGTCTTAGGTGACTGGGGATGTGACCTTGAGTGGGATTTTGGGGCCCTGACCTCTTTGCTGTTCTCTTTTGCTTCCCTGAAATGCCCACTAGCACAAGGCAAAGGCAGTGGGCCTGCTGGACCTTGTACCAGAACCTCCAAAACGGAAAGCCTGAATAAACCTTTTCTATTCATAAGTTAATTATCTCAGGTATTCATGTTAGTGACACAAAGCTGACTGACACACCTTTGTAAGTTGATCCTTCAAAAAAATTATTTAAAAGCTAATTTTTGTAATTGTCACTTCATGGGGGAAGCCATACACCAAAATCAATAAGCAGATGGTTTTTCTTGGTGTTCCATTAAACATGGAGTGTGGTTGCTTAATCACTGGAAATTTGTGGGCCTCTACAAAGATTTATAAAACACAGAATCTGCTCACAACTTAGAATGATGGAAGAGGACAAAAAAGGATTGTTGAGGCTGCAGACAAGACCTCAGAGGCAGAGTGCTTAGCATATGCAAGACCCTGGGTCAGTCCCAAGCATGGTGGGGGGAGGGGGTGGTTGTGATACAATGAAGTAAATTTAATAATAATAATCTACTTACCAGAGTAAATAACATGAGGAGGGAGCAGTCAGGTTAAGTTTCCCAAAGATGCTAAAGATTTAGATAAATCTTAAGGAAAACAAATTTACCAGATCTGGGCCAGGATAGGATACCAGTGATACCAACAGGCACAGTTGTAAGAAAGTAGGAAGTGAAAGTGGGGCATGGTGACAGCAAGGGATGGGTAAAGGAATGTTCAGGGAGAGGCAGGAATTTCTGCTCCTCTCCACTGTAGGAAAATTAGGGTAAGACTTGCTCTGCTGTCATAGCCAGTGGGGACCCTGGTGATGGTCTGTGAGGCAGTAGTTTTTAGACAGAGGAGTGAGATGCTGAGAGAAGGGAAGACACTACAAGTGAATCTTTTCTCTGCCTCAGCTTCCTGGCTGACATGGGGCTACCGCACTAGAGAAGAACCTAAGAAGAGCACAGAAGTCCCACTGGGAAGAGGAGACAGAGATCAGAGTGGGGAGCTGAGGAACTGGAGTTTATGGCACAGAGATCAGTTGACAAGGCTGCTTCCCAAAGAGATGCAGAGTCCTCCCTGTGGGTCCCTTGAGCTGTATATGCATAAAGTAAGTCTCCACAGTCTGAGGGAAGAATGTCCAGGGAGTAGCAAGTAGCACAATCCCCAGAGCTGACGATGTCCTGGGGGGTGCATTTCCATTTCAGTCAACTGAAGGGGAAAAGTCCACAGAACACAGGTGTTCAGTGGAAACCCCAGGAGAGTCAGAGCTTAGCAGAAAGCTGACCTGGTCCTACAGTAAGGCCTACAAGCTGTTAAGACAGCCAGCAAAGGACCCAGCTGACCCATAGGTGACTTCCCTGCTGCCGAAACAGTCCCTACTTTTTAAAAGAAGACAAAATCTAGCACACAGGACATATATTTACAATGTGTAGCACTCAATCAAAAATCACTACATAAGCCAAGAAATAGGAAAATGTGACCCAAAGCAGAAAAAAACTTAGTTGACTTAGTTAAAGTCCCATTTAACCCAGCTATTCCCCTTCTGGGTATTTT